TACCGGAGCAGGCTCCTGGCAGGACCTGTGGCCTGTGGAGAGAGAGAAGCCCACGCTGGAGCAGGTTTGTTGCTGGTGACCCCGTGGGGGGGCCCATGCTGGAGCAGTCGGTTCCTGAAGGACCGCACCCTGTGGAGGAGACCCACACTGCAGCAGTTCATGGAGAACTGCAGCCCCTGAGAAGGACTCACGCTGCAGAAGTCATGGAGGACTGTCTGCCATGACAGGGACCCCACACTGGAGCAGGGGAAGCATGTGAGGAGCCCTCCCCCTGAGGAGGAAGGAGCTGCAGGAACAGCAGGGTGATGAACTGACCGTAACCCCCATTCCCTGTTCCCTCCCTGTGCCACTCAGGGGGGAGGAGGGAGAGAAATCAGGAACAAAGTTACACCCAGGAAAGAAGGGAAGGGTGAGGGGAAGGTGTTTTAAGATTTGGTTTTAGTTCTCATTACTCCTCTCTGAGTTAATTGGTAATAAAGTACATTTTCCTTTAGTTGAGTCTGTTTTGCCCATGACAGTAAGTGCTGAGTGAGGTCCCTGTCCTTATCTCAACCCTACAAGCCTGTTGTTATATTTTTTTTCCTCTCCCCTGTCCTGTTCAGGAGGGGGAGTGATAGAGTGGCTTTGGTGGGCACCTGCCATCTGGCCAGGGTCAACCCACCTCAGCACAACAAGCTGAAACTTTGAACAAGGATCAGAGGACAAGAAAGGCTAAATACCTCTCGATACCTCTTTGGGGAATGAAACGAGAACAGCTGATTTGAGTTATACAAAACTCTGAGAATACACTTAAGACTCACTGTCTCCTTGTACTACACTACACCTTGCCTCTTCCCACCCTAATCTTCCTACCTATAGGTGTCTCACATGAACTGGCACCTTTTAAGATTTCCATTTTCAGACCACGGTCCCAAGAAATAATCTTGATGCAATAAAATGGTGAATGTGTAATCTGCTCCATCCTCTCTGATATTATTTCAACCGTACTTGGCCAGAGGTGATAAAAAATAATTTTTAAAAACATGAGATTAAATCGGTGTATATTTCATGAAAACAGCTAGGCAAAGAGGAAGAAAGTCTTTCACCTTCTTAGGTGTCTGAGCACCACTTTTACCAGACATCACAAAAATCTGTTTTCTGTAAGTTCCTTAAATGCCACAGCTATGGGAGAAGCTTCAGTGGAAACTCAAACACTGGTAAAAAGAAAAAAAACACTCAAAAAACAACCCTCAGACATTAGGTCTCATCAGTTGTGCTGCTCATAGAACCATTTGGATTGAATAAAGTTATGTGGTGCTGGAACACACATGAACCACCTTAATCAAACTGCTCTCACGAAACTGAACTGTAAGTACAGCATGTCTGAACTACCTCTTGCCATTACTGAGCTCTTAACAGCTGTGTGTCCTTGCACAAGTACATTCACACTGGCATCTGGCCAGGGTCAACCCACCTCAGCACAAGCTGAAACTTTGAACAAGGAGCTCGTTTGCATTTTACCATCGCTGTTTGATACAGCACGTTATGCCCCCTACACAGGGACAGTTATCACTGTCATTAAAGAAAAGACCACCAGCTTACATTGCTCACCTCAAATCAGGTGGGTTTGGGGCTTTTTTTTTTTAAGAACAGCTAAGATGAGCCACATGCGTCTTCATGGCTAACGCCTCTCCTACTGATGAACAGGAACAAGTCACTTTTCCTTCACTGCCAGCATGCTGCTACATTAGTGCTGTGCCTGAATCCACACCTTCAGCAACTCAACATTCACAACTGAACCTTGACCTCTGCAGTGGCTCAAGTATTTTTTTTTCCTAACTTTACTTCTGATTGTGTAAATGGAGCTCACTAGGAAATTCTCCCTTTATGCTTTTTCATGCTAAAAGACAGAACAAAATGTTCTGGGATAACTTATCCTCTTGTGCTAGGAGAAATCTTCCCAGCCAGTGGTTAAATGCAGAAGAAAATTTAAACACTTTTCAAAACCTACCCAAAGCTATGCAGAAACGTGGAACTCCCTAAAGGAGACACAAAATATTTTGCCTTTCTTATGCAGAATATTTCTTAAGATTGTTCAGCTTCATGTATTTAAGGTCAAATACGGTAGAAGTATTTCTCGGCGCAATGAGGATTCTTCAGGTAGTTCCCTTGTGAGTACTAGTCAACCCTCAACGGGGCACAATAATTACCATTTGAAAGCTATTAAAAGCACTGCCGTGGTTTAAGCCCAATCAGCCAGCAATAAAAGCCCCCTGCAGCCACTCGCTCCCCCCTACCCCGCTCATCCCTACCCTGTCCCTTGAGGGATGGGGAGGAGAAAATACAACCAAAAAGGCTTGAGGATCAAGACAAAGGACAAGGAGGGCTCACTCACCGGCAAAAGACAGACTCAACTTGGGGATAACAACATACATTTAACACAAACAACCACCACCAAGGATAATGAGAGATATAACCAGGTCTTAAATACAACACACACAGCCCTCACTCCTCTGCTCTTCCCGGGCTCAGCTCTGCTCC